AATGCTTAACGGCTATAAGGTGGGCACTGGGAAAGTGAAAAATAAGGTACAGAAGAAAACTTGCAGGAGATAAAACCCAACCCAATGTAAAAATGGTACCCTTCAGACATAAAAGAGTACTGCCTACAACTATGTACTACCGGACCTGCGAGTCCACTATGCACATGTCGTATATCTCATAATGCGACCTGCCAGTCGCCAATGCACATCGAAAAGACTGTACCTTACAACGTATATGCGACTACACGTAAACAAGGGGACCTGCGAGTCCATGTTAAAATGTTTTATGTTGAAAAATCTTCAATAAAAACATTTACAAAAAAAGTTAGGTATGCCTCATAGTTATTCAACTGTTTCACAAGCTTTCATAAGTGGTAACTTTACCTATGAGCTTATATGCCATTTGTTTGCATTGACAGGTTATCTCTACCCAATCTAATACTGATCTAATTATCACAGTCTTATGTGCGATGATATCTAGTGCCGGAATTAGCAGTAATAAAAATCATTCCAGCTGGACAGGAATATCAATTTATTTTTAATTTTTTTTTACTACTTTAGAATAGTATATTTTTTACTTGTTCCCAAATTGTTTTAAACTAAAGCAGTCCTAAAACACATCTAAGAGATCCTGCCTCCCGCCCACATCTCCAACAGTTGGAAGCTGCATTTTTGTAAATGAGGGATAATTTAAAGGCACCAAATATTTTACAATATGCTTCCCAGTGAAACAGGCTCCTGTAGGAGGATTAAGTCTGTTGAATGGTGAGTAACCATTGCAAATCTGTCTCCCATTTAGACATATGTGATAGTTCATTTTCCCTTCCTACTCTATTTAGTGCATTGTAGCATAGGGAGAGTGGTTTAGCGCTTAGCCTTTTGTTGATATAGTATGTACTAAAAAGATTTGCAAAGTGTCATTATCACCTACTTTGAGGTTAGGATATGTTTAAGTCTAAGTCAGGTAAACATCTTTCTGGATGGAAGGGAAAACTCATTCTGCAAATCAGGGCAAGGTTTAATCCCTGATTCATTGACGAGGGATTTTACCCAGGTAACTCCTCTAGTGATTCAAGTCTCTGATGGTAGATCTGGTAACAGTGCAGTAGTTGCTGGACCCATTGTGCCCAACATTTTAGCATTCATCTAGAGCTGGATAGCTTAATAGATAGTATAGAGTGAGGAATGAAATAATACCAGAGTAAACAAACTAAGGTGTCTGAGCTAACACAGGCATTCCAAGATAAAGCCATATAGGTTGTGACAGCCTTGTTAAAATGGATAAGTCTTGTGTTAACAAAAAGAATCAATGTGTATAGGCACTCTTCTATCCTTAATGGTGCTGGGTATCAAGGTAGCCCACAACTATTACCTTCACTTCTGATGATGCCAGTCAAACAGGCAGATCAGGGGAAGAGTCAGCAGCTGCAGACTTGAATACAAGTTAGATTTTACTATATTTAAGGAGGCAAGGGGGCAACAGTCGGGGCTAGATGGTGGTTTTAACACTATAGGGTCAGAAATACATGTTTGTGTTCCTGACCCTACAGTGTTCCTTTAAAATTATGTAATGAACTGGCAAACAAGAAGGGTAAAGGGCTCAACTAAATAGGTGAAGATAATTGTAAAGTAAGGCCAGCTGTGAACATAGAGAGATCTCAGCCTGGGTGCAGCAGCCTGCAATAGCACCGCAGACAGGTAGTGGCACTCTGAGGTACTGCACCAGACTGAGAATAAACAGTGGTAAAGAGAATTTTTATCTTGAGTGGCCTATTATCTATGGAATTTCACTGTACTATCACTATACAGATAGCAAGATCTTTGGCTCACTTTTTCAGCATTTTGGTCAAGGCATACATAATCCAGCTCAGTTTAAAGGACCACTATAGTGCCCTGAGGGTGCCCCCACCCTCATGGCCTCCCTCCCGCTGGGCTCTAAGTGGTGGAAGGGGTTGAATTTACCTCTTTTTCTAGCGCCGGGCGGGGAACTCTCCTCCTCCTCTATATCGCCGTCATCGGCTGAATGTGCATGGGCGGCATGAGCCGCGCGCGCATTCTCAATGCTTTCCTATGGACGCTGGCGTCTTCTCACTGTGAAAATCACAGTGAGAAGCGCGGAAGCGCCTCTAGCGGCTGTAAATGAGACAGCCACTAGAGGCTGGATTAACCCTATTATAAACATAGCAGTTTCTCTGAAACTGCTATGTTTATAGAAGAAAGGTTTAATCCTAGCTGGACCTGGCACCCAGACCACTTCATTAAGCTGAAGTGGTCTGGGTGCCTATAGTGGTCCTTTAATTTCATTGCTATCTAATACTGCCAAATTAATTACGTTTAGCATTTTGACATCACTGATTTTTTGTTGTTGTTGTAATCTCCCTGATGTTACAATCTAACTATATTTGACTCCTTTAGTGTTTATTTTTCCTGTTGCTGCATACTCTTCAGTGATTAAAACAAACCTGCATAAACTAACTGACTGATATAACATCCCTACATTTTGTATTCTGGTAGGAATTATTTAAATTTGTATATATGCAGTCAACAAAGCATTATTTATTGCAGGCAATTAAGCATTATTGGGTCTAAGTGATTTATTTATAAATAGGCACTTTTTTTAGTATGTCATATAATGAGAGATATCTCTATATGAACTCTACACAAGCTATTTGTTATTAAAACTACATTTGCTGACATCCCGAAATTGACTGGAAGCTAAATGGAGTAATGAATGTCTGCTACAAGTCTACATCACATAACAAAATGCACTTGACGTTCCATATCTCCACGTGACCATTATTTAATGCTCGGCATGTGATTCTCTCAGGAAGCTATTTATTAACAGGCTATTATCTATCCTCTCTTCTCTGTACTGATTAGTTTTACAGAGCAGCATAAAATAGTTGGAATCACATTGCAGATTTCCACTTTGATGTCAAAGTCGCATTTTACACTTTTTTAATTTATTTTTTTTGAAGAGACTTTGTAGTATACACATGTCTACACATTTTTATAGTGTGATCTACTTGTTGTGGTGGCAGATTTGATGGTAAATATATTGATCAAGAGAAAAAAGCCCCACCACTCTCAGGCAGGCATGTGCATTGGTCAGTTGGAGAAAGGGTTAAAAATCACGATTAATCTGCACTAGTCCAAAAATAATGATTAAAAAAAATCCCTCTGCTCTCCAACCATAAAAGCCAAAGCACATGCACGTGATGTTACTCAGTTTTGAACCCTGCATTCTGGCAACGAAGCCAGCATGCCGACATGACAAAGCAGGTTTTCCCTGCTTGGGATGTGTCCCAAGGATGTGTCGCTTCATGAAGAGCGCAGGTGAACCAATGGGACGGTCAGGAGGTAGATGTTTCTCAAAGAGTAACACCCATGAAGCAGCGTTGAAATAGAGGAAAAATGAATAAATCTTTATAAGGATCTTTGTGATATGTGGTTTATTCAATGTATATGGGAGCGTTTTCAGGTAAATACATTGATACATTAGAGGTGATCTATACATGAATTCATATTTGAGGTGGAATTAGTGTAAAGAATACCATGTTTGCTTTTGAATTCAGAGACATTTAATATCCTAGTTAGTGCTGTAACGGCGAATACAAAAGGGGGAAATTGGCAACAGGATCTGAAGCAATTCATTACATGAAAATTACATTTTAGAGAGGTTGAACGAGTAAGTTGAAGTGATTTAATTCCTGTAAGGATATGCCACTTGACTCAAAATGACTCAGACACATAAAATTACAATTAATCCTGTCAATTGCATTCACAGCGACAAATCTTAAGAATATTTGAGTCAATAGCTTTTCATGAAAAATTAGATTGATCATTTTTTTTGTTATGTAACCTGCCATTCTGCAATAAATCCAACTTAATTTCCCTATATGGTAATGTACCATGAATCATGTGAAATTTGTTGAATATAAATTTCCTTTAAGGCTTAAAGAAGCACTCTACGCACCATTACTACTACCAGCATGCTGCTGGCACTATTCCCATCACCAACCCATGGCTTGGCCCCATACTTGGCATACTCGTTCCCAGGGCCGCCATCAGGGCATGACAACCGCAACGGTTGTCATGGGCCCGGCGGTCCTGGGGGGCCCGGACTGCTCAGGTCGTCCGGGCCCCACATTCAGTGGGTACATACCGGGTCGCAGGGGGTCCTGCGACCCGGTATGTACCCACAGGGCCAACCTCTTCTCCTGGGGGGCCCAGCAGCCGGCCACCTGAGGGCCCCCCCGAGGCTGGCCCTGCTGACACCCGGCGGCCGGCGCGCGAGGGAGCACTCTGAGTGCTTCTTCTTCAGCTCCCTCGCGCGGTGTACTGATGCGGAGCCGGAAGATGACGTCATCTTCCGGCTCCGGCATCAGTACGCGGCGCGCGAGGGAGCTGAAGAGGAAGCACTCAGAGAGTGCTCCCTCGCGCGCCGGCCCGCCCGCCGCCGGGTGTCAGGTGGGGGGGAGAAATGAAATTCGCGGGAGGGGGGGAAGGAATGGGAGG